AAGCATGATATTACATTGTTATGAGAAAGTGGGCTTCCTTTGGAATCTAATAAAAAACCATGTCAACAAACAATTTCTATACTTGCAACAGAGTGAGAAGGAATTGCTAAAAAATGCAGTGATCAGAAACCAAAATGAGCTATTAACAATGAACCTTATGCTCTGCTCTTCCTCTTCTAAATCTCTTATCACATCTTGTAAGACATTTGCAGAGGTCTATAAAAGAAAATTGCAACCATGAAATGATACTGACCTTGATTCCTGTAATACAATATAATGTACTACTTACTTCAAGAACATGTACAACATGTACTGGATATATGAGCAGCAAGCCGGACACAGCTTCACCATGAGAATGATTCTGGGAATTTTTGAACAGTCTTTCATAATGTGCTGTGAAGGTATTTAGGACATATGATTTAGAATTTGGATCCATTCATACGACTATAATGGCTCTCATTTTGCATCAGATCCTGACACCCCGAAATGTCTCAGGGTACTGTCACAGTGCACATACTTTTTTACGGTGTTAAATTTATCTTTTTACATAACTGTTACTGTCACAGTTGTCGGACTTGCCAGGGGTATCATGACTTCACAGGGCTGTTAGGATCTAAGGGTATATTTTTGGATTCCAAATCATATACCAGGTAAAACAATTTATCTATACCTCCTATGTCTCTTCTATCTGCAACCTCAGGACGAATTTTAGATATGTAAACCAGGCGGTGAACAAGTTGTTTCTGAAATATTTATGACAGCTGTTAACATATTTATGCAATGTTTATAACTAAAAAAAACAAATGTTCACATTACATAGCGTATTCACAAAAAATGACCTTATTTTGTGCTCTATTTTTCTCTTGAATCAAATCAAAGAGGGATAAACGTCCACTATCGTACATCGACTCTTCTCCACCTGGAGTGGCAGCCATTTTGGAACAAYTTTTAGTTTCCAAGGTAACGAATGACAACAATATCACAGCGGATGTATTTACAGGGCATGCGCTCTTACTCTTGACCAAATATTCTCAAGTAAAAAGAAAAACAAAATTTCAAAATGTCGTTCCGCGATCTTCGAAGTAAGTATCCTAAATTTAGGGGTATATCTTGCTATGAATGAGAATTTCCTGTACATTATAATCTATTCTGTATTTCTGGGGATTATTTTCTGGTGATTGATCGTTACTTATTAGTTTACTTTCATGTTTTTTGGGCAGACTTCACAGAGATGATGCGTTCATTAGGATATCCAAGACTAATATCCATGGAGAATTTTCGCTCTCCTAATTTTCCTTTAGTAGCAGAAGTTCTTATATGGCTTGTTAAAAGGTGAGGATGTTTTTTGAAATATGTTAGAAGGGCATTTGTCCGCAGAGAAGTTCCTGGTTGGTGTACAAGATGGTGTACAAACGTGTTCACTTTTCACAAGTTCTTCTAGCTTATGTATATACATCGTATATACATGTACTTCTTTCCTTCGCCAAAGGCTGTTTCTGTTTAGCACTACTTATTTTAGACATAGACTTTCAAGACGCAGTTTCTTTGTGTAAGAGATCAATGCATGGATTTATATTACAGGTATGACCCTAATGCGGAGCTACCAATAGATGTTGACACTGAACAAGATAGAGTGTTGTTCATCAAGGCCGTTGCACAGTTCATGGTAATGTTCAGGTTGTCTATTGTGCACAAAACAGTGATATATTTCATAGTGTTCGTTTGATTTCTCTAGGCCACAAAAGCACACATTAAACTGAACACTAAAAAGTTGTATGGTGCTGATGGATATGCTGTCAAAGAACTGCTTAAAGTGACATCAGTTCTTTACAGTGCAATGAAAATCAACTTGACTGAAGAAGACAATGAAGCATCCAATGTTTCATCATTGACCTTTGATATCTCGTCAAGAGTAAGTGTTACTGTAATATTGTATTTAAAAAAAACACTTTGCAATGGTTTGAATGTACTCAAAAATCATATTTCTCTGTTCAATTTTAGATAAATGACTTAAAAGCTTCAAGAATGCTTGCTTCAGAAATAACCTCTAGAGGTGCTGGACTTTATGATCTTCTGGGACGAGAAGTTGAACTCAGGGTAAGGATATCTGGTTGTCTCTAATAATTTATGTTTATACATGTAAATGACGTCTTGCTCATGCTCATTTTACAATATTAGGAATTACGGACGAGAGCTATTGCTAAGCCACTTGAAGTTAATGAACTTGAAAATGGAATCAAGAAAAGTATTGTACAAGTGAAGGTTAGCTAGTTTAGCTACATTCCATTTTAATGATGATGACAATGGAAAACCTGACTATTGTTTGTTTAGGATGAAATTGGTAAAACTACACAAATGCTGAACAACATTGCATCCGATGAAGCAAACTTAGAAACAAAAATCGAAAAGAAAAAGCAAGAATTAGAAAGGAATGAAAAGCGACTTAGAAGCTTGGAAAGTGTTAGGTAGATTTCAAGATGATTTGGTTAAAAATATCTCATATTTGTGAAAGAGTTGAAATACCAAGAAATCGTGCAATCATTATTTTTAATTCCAGACCAGCTTTTATGGATGAGTATGAAAAGCTAGAAGAAGAATTGAAAAAGGTTTACGAGGTGAGAGAATGTAAAATTCACTGATTATTTTTGACTTGTTATATTACTTTGAAGCTAATAATGTTTGTTTGTTTTATAGACGTACATGCAAAAACACAGGAATCTTTCTTATTTGGAGCAACTGTTGGATGATGTCAACCAAGCTGAACAAGATCGATTTGAGGTACCAGTACATAACATCTTAACATTTGATTTTCAATTAGGCAATGTTTTAAATTACAGGGCACTTTTCTGATTTCTGTGTTCAATGTACAATAATCCTTTTCCTAGGAAACAGAAGCAAAGAGCCTACAAGACAGACTACAAGAAGAAGACAGAAGAATGACACAGAGAGATGAACTAAGTGGAGATATTGATGATGACGATGATGAAATTGTTTTAGACGCTGGAAACAAACAAAGTGACAAACAAGGTAACATCTGGCTCAAAACCTATATTAACATATTGGAGGTCATAATAATTCTTCACTTTTGTATCTTATCAGGAGATGGTCCTCGTGTCTTTGGAGGAATGGGAGGAGGAATAGATTCTGATGAAGATGAGAGTGGTTCATTATCTTCTGGTGATAGCGAGATTGGTGTAGATGATGATGATGAATTATTGGATGATGATGAAATTGGAGATGACAATGACAATGGTGCTGAAGGATCACAAGGAAGCTTGAATGATAGTGATAATGATTTTTAATTTACTTGCTGCGTGTTACTGCTTGCTTGCATCCAAGGACAACRAAGTCTAATGATTTGTATTCCTTCTCATAAGCCAATAAAAATGGAAAAACAATGAAAAAAAAATGAAAAAATATACATAGATGGATTTAGTACACTTCATCTTATCTTCGTGGACTGAAGACCTAATCTGATGTTTGTACCTTTGTTATAAGGGAATGTTTTCATGAAACACTAGCTAGAGTATTCATTTTCTTGTTAGCATTGAAGCAAAGAAAAGCAATCAAAGTAAGGTCTTGTGCAACAAATTAGTGGCATGTAGCAACAAAGAAAACCATATACAATAAAGAGCAAGTAGACTATCATTTACCTATGTGGACATAAGATTGAATATATAATCACACCTATAAAGTGCAAACACTAAAATCATGGGGTAAAAGGAACCTAATACTCCAATTTCGAGTTCTGGTTTGCTCTGTGTTAGCCTCAAAACCAAGTAACATATTCTTTTTTTTCATTGATAGCTCGAAAAAATGCATGGAATTTGTGAAGAAAGACAATACATTTGATTTGAAATCTCACACTTCTACGCTCACAATAAGGAATATTTTGCKCACAAATGAGGCTAACACAGAGCATTGGAGAATTCGAAACTGGAGTATTAAACTAGAACAACAAAGGAATTTGCATAATTAAGTAGGTGATAGCACTAATTAGTAAACTATTTCATGGTTTTAGTGTTTGCACTCTTATGTTTTTTTTGTCTGGCTATTATTTCAATTAAAAAATTGAAAAGAAATACACAACAACATCTATATACAAGATTTTTTATTACAGTGTATAGCAAAAATATTTAACTTTTGAATGAAGTTGTGTTCTTGATTAATACATTGTATTGTAAAAGGATTCACTCATGCTGTTGTCCATTTTCTCCTTCAGAATCTTGAGTTTCTTCAGTAGACTCACTCTTCTCTTCAGTGCTTTGTGATTTATCTTTCTCTTTCTTATGTTTTTTATGTTTCCTCTTGTGTTTCTTTTTCTTGTGCTTCTTTTCACCTGATTTTTCTTTAGATTTGTGTTTGGATTTTTCTTTGCTCTCATCTGACTTTTTCTTGGTCTTCTTGACTTCTTTTGGTTCAGGTTCTGTGCCATTTTGTTCATTTCCTTTATCTTCAGTTTGTATGGATTCTTTTGATTGCTTTGTATCATTTTCCACTTTAGGAATATCACTTTGTTTATCAGTTGGATCATTTGCAATCTCTTTTTCCTGGCTTTCAATTGTATTTCCCTTTGAATCAGGAGTATTTTTAGTGTCCATTTTTTCTTTTTTCTGTGATTTTTCCTTTGACCTTTTCTTGGACTTAGATTTCTTCTCACTTTTCACAGTAGTTGTAGTATTCTCTTTTATTGATTCTTCTTCTGCATTGTGTTCAGACTTGCGTTTCTTTGAATGCTTGTTTTTATGATGCTTTTTACGCTTCTTTCTTTTATGTTTTTTCTCACCATCACCTTCAGGGTTTTTAGAGTCAGACAAGACCTGTGAGGAGGGTGAGGGTGTTCGTGATCTATCCCAATCCTCAGGGGTTGGAGACTTGGACATGGTATGTGAAGACTGCGAGAGTGATCTGGATAATGATCTGGATACAGATCTTGATCTTGAATGTGACCTTGATCTGTAGTTCCCATGACGATGTCTTTGTAAAGCACGATACTGCGATAGTTCATCATCAAAATTAGCAGGATGACTTTTGTTTGTTTGCCTTTCTCTAGACCTCTCCCTGGACCCTCTTTCTCTCAATCTTTCTTTGTCTCTGTGCTTTCGTTTATTTCTGTGAATGCAACAACTTTGTCAGCAGGAAATGCAATACTMTATGACAATGGGGCCTTTTTAACCATGAAAAGGGTGGAAAGTGAGGTTGCAAAATGTCAAGTACCTTATTTTCATCTTTTTCTGGTAGCGATAGAACTCTTCTTCGCTCATAGGAGGACCTCCATCATCAAATGGGTGTGGTCGTTTCATGGCAAATGGGAATTGAGATCCTAGTAAATGAGGTTGTAGAGTAGGATGGACCATACTTGAATGACCTGTAACCACTGGATGTATACCCATTGATGTGGCAGCTATAAAACCTGGTTGCTGTATCAAAGGTGCGGCATGTAATACTGGGCGGGCTGTTCTTATTGGAGGTACTACAATAGCTCCTTCTGGTGCAATACTTCTTGGTATAACAGGTTCTCCTACCATTGGATGGATCATTCCAGGTCCTCTATATGATACAATCACATTAAAATGCTTAATACTACAACAACACATTGAGAGAGACATAATAATAAATTCCAAGATATGTATTAAATGAGTAAAAAAATGTTTATAAACAAAAAATATAATCACAGTATGATACAACAATGATTTGATAAAGACAGTACCTATGCATAGGGTGCTGTCCATAGCCTGACGGTTCAGGTCTGTTACCCCCTGAAATACACAAAACACTCATTAGTTGACCTTATTATCATCATGGATCAAGTTTGATAACTTGACTGTCACAGACAAAATATATAAAGAAAAACACTTAAATTAAACAGGTTTGTAAAACTCATGAATAATTAATGAGGAAAGCACAATAGAAATCACAACTGTGAAGAGTGTTGTAAAATCCCATACAACACGGCTGCTCATGTTGTAAACATTATTATAAAACTTATTAATAATGCATAAGCTATTGCTCCAATAAGGGCTGACCATTTAATCAGGTGATTGACCTTGTAATTCTGATACAACCACTAGTGTTGTATCAGATTTACAACACGGTCGTCACCATTGAGACAACCCAACACTAGCAAAGGTCTCAGTTTTAGTGTCGCATCATAGACCTTCACTAGGTTTTGAAGCAATCAAAGACGGATAACAGAACTGGCTTATGCAACAGATGGCTTGCTTTCCATGTGGGATGGATAATTATTCAAAATGTTCTGTGTTGCAGTAAATTGCGCATGCTTAATAGNTACTTACCAGTAGCAGCTGGCTGGTGTTTTATATTGCTGCCACGTCTGTCTTCTGAATCACTTGATTGGTCTGGTCTTGGAGAATTCACCTCCTCTTTTACAACCTGGCAATTAAACCATTCAGTACATTAACATATTTAAGTATTATTTAAATGAAATAAGACATAAACTATTGTTTGTACAAACCACAGGAGATAATGCCTCTTTCTTTAACTCTTCTTTTTTCAACTCAGGTGTGTCTAATGAAGAGTTAAACAAATTAATTTTTGTTTCACTTAAACAGGACATTAAACCACTGCAGTGATAACCAATCTAATATGTGATTGTTATTTTGTCTATTATCTATTTCACTGTTTACCTTTACTGGGAATCTCTGACGTTGTACTTGTGACTTTTTCCTCTGACTTCTCTTTTTCACTGCAATAAATGTCGAGTTAATGCCCAGTTTTCACACAGTTGTAGTAAAAGAAGAGCTATTTTGTATGCTGAGTGGTGTGCATTCATACCTGGTATCTGGTGATCTAACATCAGGTAATACAACACTGAGAGATGGACTAGATATTGATTTATCATTATTTTGAGCTGGACTATCAACAGTACTTGTTGCAGATTTATCTGAGGTTGATTTATCAGTTGAACTATTGACAAAAGGACTAGCAGGTCTTGCATTGCGGAAGTTATTCACAGCCTGAAAAGAAGGAAATAATTAGAATAAGAATCTAGAAATCATGGGCCCAATATATTGAACACAAACCTGTCTCAATTGTTTGTTAATTATTAATGAGTCTGGAGAAACATCTTCTGCTCCACAAGTAGGGCATTCTTGGTCATTCTCAAGCAAGTATGTTCGGATACCTAAGGCAACAACATAACTATTTAGACAAAAGTAACACTAGAAAACAAAGCAATTATCATAAAATGAGAGACAATTATAAAACAACACAATAGAACAATATTCACTTCTATTTCCAATTTAGGCCTTGAATTATACTTACATTCATCACAGTAACTAGTACCACAACATGGAATTAAGACGGCATCGTGTAAAAGATTTGAACACATTGGACACTTTAGTTCCGATGGAACTTTGCGGTCTTTGACAGCAGTAGTGTCTTGAACTGGGACAAGCTTTTTAACTGGGTCTTTTTTAATTATTGATTCACTAGTATAAGAGAATACTAATTATTAGTTTTAAAGTTTTTGCTGTCCTTCAAGGGAAATGCAGGTCACTGATTGAGATTTCATGGGAATTGAGGGTCATACATGTAGATTTTAAAAGTTAACTGATCATTAAACTTAATGTGGGACCTCTTTAAGTATAATCACAATTATTTCTCCTTTCGTTTGATATTTAARTATATCATCATATAAGTGGGACTTACTCTGTTGTTTCTACTGCAGTTTCTTCACCAAACTTTCTTGGAATTCCAATTGTACGTTTAACCTTATCACAACATAACATATTTCAATATGTTTTAAAAGTCTTACAGATATAATAGATTAGTATCCCACAGAGTTTACGCTTTCATCACAAAATTTCTGGAAGTTATCAAGTACTTTGTTTTATTGGAAAACTATGATTCTTAGAGGAAATTCCAGGACTTTGTGCACAACTATACTTACCCCATTGGTAGGGCAGTTTCTTATAAAGTGACCTGGTTTACCACATCTATAGCATACATAATTAGGTGGAAGAGGTCCTGATGGATTATATCCTCTGCCACGCCCCTTCACATATCTTAAATAAAAGTATATTTCAGTCCATGATTAATTTCATTAAGGTTTTGATATCTATTAAATATTGCTATACAAATATTAACCTCCTTAAACAACACTGAGAACAAGGAAAAAACCCTGAAATGACAGCAAACAAGGGTGGACCAGAGTTGGGTGTGGGTGTTGGTGGGAGATTAGGATTTTTGAAAAGCAACTCAAGCAGTTCATGTGAAAGAAATGAGATTTTCCACAGCCCTTACTCCATCCATTTATTTATTTATTTATTTATTTTTTTTGAATTATCCCTTCCTCTTTGCAATGTTTCGCTGATGCAGTGCAAAAATGAATGACATGAAGCAAATATCACCTTCAGCTCATGCATCTGCACTGATCTTACATAGAATATATTGTACTCACTGGTTAGGTTGATACCCTTCTCCTGCTTGAGACATCATCACCTTCAATTTGTCTTCTTCCGAAGCATCAGAGTTAACCAGATCAATAATCTATCAAGAATTTGACCCATAACAAGCCAAGTTTAGGATTGTAAAACATTTGCATTTACTATTCAAATGGGAGAAAAGGACAGAAATTATGCCACACAATAGYAACTTAGTCAAATATTGATGTCACATAACTCAGCCAATACTATTGTGTGGGTAACTAAGAGTGTACACCAGAAAGAGTGGTTCCAGATACTGGCCTTAATAAACCAGCTTATTGGACTCCATTATTTGTTTTACTACTTGATTGTCATATCTCAACTGTTCAGTGGTGATTTATAGTTTATTAACTACTTGGTTTTTCATGGTTCAATTCCCTGAGTCCAAGTCATTCTGATAATACTAAWATCCTAACACTATAATATTGTAATTGCATTCTTCAAAAGAGTTTTCAATGCGCAATGAATTACCTTGGTCTGTTTGGCTGATATAGTGCTGGTGAGTTCTTCAGATTTCTATGAAAAAGAATTAGGAACATTCTACATATCTACACACACATCTCTCTTTGAAACTACCCCTCTTCTCTACAATAGTCATATCAGTCCAATTACAGCAGAATAATTTTAATAGCAATGTCAAATGGATATGACTAGGCTAGTGAAGGTAAAGGATGTGAAATTTGGCTATGCAGGTGTATCACAGCATAGCAACATATGCAAATGTACAATATAAACTGATTTTTCAAGACCTAACACTACAGATCAATCACTATTTTTATATCAAAAACCATGACCTATCACTAAAAAGCAAGCGATATCATATAAAGATTATCATGTGTAAAGGATGTTTTTAGATCATCCTGCTAGTGATCCAAGTGTTCTCAATATTCCATTTTCTAATTCAAAGCGGATAACCGCTATTTTATTTGCAACAGATTCTCTTACCCAAAGAAATTACCAAACGCAAAATATAAGCATGAGAAAATGTTGTTAGTACAATAGCGCAAACAATTTATATTTTCTCAGAGTTGAGGCTGACCCTGTCTTAGGTGGTCTGAACTCGGGGAAAATGCAAAATTGCAAGGCTATAGTAATAACGACATTTTCTCATGCTCTCTTTTGTGTTTGGTCAGCTCTTTGTGCAAGACAATCTGTTGTYAAATAAAGCAGCGGTTTTTCACTATGAATTCGAAATTGGATCATTGCATTTATTCACTATTACAAAATGACACTGTTAATAATAAAGCACAAAAAAGGAAAATCAAGAAGCAAAACTAATTGCATTGACAGTTCCTTAAACACATGTTAATGATAGTGATTTCCATAAGCCTTCACAACAAAGTGTATATAAAAGCAAAAATAACATATGCACAAAAGCCATGTGTTTATGAAAATCACTCTAACACACAACATACATAAAGAAAAACATAAATCTTAGATTTAGTAGCAAAGAAGTGCATTTTTTTGGTTTTTAAGCAACCCACAAGGGTAGACCCAGATGGTAGGTGGTGCAGTGGGGCGTTCAGTTGATATCAAAATTTTGTACACTTCAATAACACCATTTATTTTGTCTCATTTGTGATATTTTTGATAGTGTACATCCAGAGCCATGCACCCCTCCTTGAAAGAACAATGCTGGATCCACCCCTGTATACAAAAAAACACACTACTAAATACAACAAAAAATGGCTTATAATATTGTAATCAAGTAACAATCCAAGTTCGTAGCACAATACAAAATGTAGAAAGTCCATAAACCAACAAGCTTTGAATCCAAGTTATCATTGTTCTTGAAATGCAGATAGATGTTCATGACCAACAGATGTGGTATAATGACTCCAGCGACACCTTAACAGTGTTTTTGTGGCTATAGTAAAGATATTCCAGTGATGCAAGTCTTGTATAGTGTTTCAATCTTTCCTTGGAATCAATTTAAATTACCCACATACAATGCACTTCAGTTATACCACGTTAAGCAAGTGAATCAAAGATGTCGATGAACAAGAGAATAGGATAATTATTTTGGTAGTGGCTTTTCTTGTTTTACAGTATGTCTGATGGGACGAGATTATGAACAAGCTGAATGTGTTTATACTGTATTTAAAGTAGACSTGATAAAGATATTTATGGAAATGAGGTATGAGAGCATGACAGTAATAACACGTAATGTGATCAGAGTCAAAATTAGTTGTSTTACAATGTGATTTTGCATTCACCAACGTGAAATTATGTGCAATTACACACACTATATTCTTAAAATTATGGTTACTGAACCATGGTCTAACATAAATCGACCATGGTGCCATTGCTAGAAGCGAAAACACTTGAAAACAGATAATGAGAAAAGTTTTGTATGCTTTCCAATTTGTCCAATAGAATGGTGGATAATAATATGGTAATGTGCTAGGTTGATTGGACTAGGAGTTGATAGTCCAAGAGTACAAATGGACTATCACACAACCTTGTCCTCTAATAATGTTAGCTGGCCTCTCAGCCCATTAGTCATTGAAAATTAGAACTGGTACAATATTTACACAACATAAAATGGMAAAGATAAATTTAACTGAGAAGAGGTGATATGAAAAAACAGAAAACTTCTCTTTATGATTTTTGTGTCAAAAGGCAACCACTGTATCCAAATAATAAACCATTATATGAAGCTGATTGCTCTGTTGAGTCATTATCTTTCACAGGATCCAGGATCTCCACGCTTTATAAACAGGACTACCAATCCAACAAACTCCACATGAACTGTATTTAACCATGAATATCCAGTAACATTGTAGATGCCATAATATTAAATGGATAGCCAAAACTTTGTACTTGCTAGTATTTCTCATGAACATGGTCAAGGATAGCAACATAATAGATGTCTGGTTAATGTCCTGACCTTGTAGGAACTATATCCTCAGAAATACTGTACTTGAATACTATACCAAACTAACAAATTACCCCCTTGACTTTATGAAAAGGATAAGCATCAAATTGACTTTCTTTATTTATCATCATTTTTACAAAAGGACAATAATTCATCCCTTTGTAGCCTGTCAGTGTCCAGTGCTTTTGCACTTGTCAGTTTATATACTTTAATCACTAAAATCATGTGACAGTTCAAAAGTGTTCATTACTGGTAAWATCAGTGATTCTTGACATCATAGCATTGTACATTACAGCTCTTCCATAGTGTGGCATCTTTTATCAATGTTCTTGACCATTCTTATAACAGACTTATAAAATGTTGAATGCTCTTCACAACACATCATTGTTGAATTACCAAATGCACTTACAAGGCAGAGCATTAAACAATACAGTCACAGAAAAGAGAAGATTGTTCTTCTTCTCATCTTTATTGTTATCGCATATTACAAATAAATCAATACATAACATTCATAGTTAAATATATGAAACTCATACCAGTAAATGATAAATGTCTGCCAAATTCCTTATATCTTTATCAGATCTACTTAATAACACTTTAATAGGATTCTTTAMTTTTAGCGAAAAATAGTAATTGCTGAGGCTCTTTTAAGGTGAAAAAGGGAAAGTTGATTATTAATTAATAAATAGTTTGCACCCAGCTAAATTAAGAGTTCAGAATATTTAACAAAACTCTAAATAACAATTTAGAATCATTCAACCCTAATGCTAAGCTCCTTGTATGAAGTACTGTAAATCTACAAACCCTGACAACTGAAATCATAAGACTCTTACCATTACCATAGAATCATTACTAGTTTTGAATCCATTGTAATTCTCCGTCATAAAGTTTCATTCATTACTCTGATATTTATTGATTACTAACTATTCCAAATGCTGAAATATGGTCAAGGTGAATTACTAATCCATTTTAACTACTGAAGTTTGATAAATAACTATAAGATTTATTATTGAAAGTGARCACTTCTTTTTACTTTAGAATCTAAAAGTAGGAACTATTGTTATACTAGGTTTGTTCTGCAGCAGTGTTCTAATGATGTTAAAAAACAATAAATTGTGACAGCTCATTGTACAATTTATCATTTTAGTACAACAATAGTTATGAATTTTTCATTGAAGAAGAATTTGGCAGACATTTATCAGTATGCAGACAAAAAAACAACAGCCTAATCTAACTAGTACATACTGTTTTGGGTAATCCGCTGGCATATGTATCTCCCCTATCCCTGAAAACAAGAACATGAATGATAAGTCTACAAGGCATCAATTTTCATTAAACACATTTATTTTAATACTAGTCAWAACGTGTTGAAATTGTCACATGACCACAAGTCTGTATGATACTATGTAGAAAGAATTACTATTATTTCTACTTGTCTTTATTCATAACAAAAATGCACTAACTTACACTGCGAGTTGTGCTTTACTTCGACTTCCTGTAGGAATTCTTCGCACCACCACCGACGAATTCTTGGGTATTTGAGTACTCTCGTCCTTGTATTCTGGAATTAAAATAAGTTAACAACATTTTAAGACAATACATCAACAAAATGACTAGTTTTCACTATCTTATTGAAGAGATTATAAGTATTACGTACCTTCTTTCGTCTGTGCATTAGTTACTTCCAAATCGAAATCGGTGACCTTCGCAATTTTCTTTTGCGCCATGATAGACTTCTTGAGGTCACCCAGAGAAATAGCGAGCCCATCAAACGTGATGGTATCATACTCCAAACTACTCCGAAACTTGTAATGTATACACGACATGCTGTTGTACCTATATCCTTCGAATCAAAGAAAGCGAACTACTAATAAATGCAGAGAAAAATGACTACTGGTCATGGCGTCATAACGGTGAGATGGAGTCCGCCATGTGCTTTGAGTGACAAAAGCTTGAAATTTTTTCAAAGAAAACTAAAACCTAAAGAAACCTATTGAAAGGTGTGAGAACTATGTACTTCTTTCAACATTCTTCAACGATCATAGTAAGGAATAAGACCAAAAATACGAAAACATTGATGATAAAATCTGTACTTTTAGGCAAACGACAAAAATCATGTAGGAGAGTTCATGCAATGATGCATTGTGGGTACTTTCCGAGCTGGTCGTGGCTCTGTCGTTGACCCGAATACTGAGCGGYGATATACGGAAATATTCCGACAACTCAGTGAATGAAAACTGAAGTGAGCAGTCCTCAGTCTGGTCGTTTTCCTCCTTGAATATGTTTGCTTTTCATGTCAGGAGGAGTGTTTCAAGGTCAAACATTTGTCTGTTGAAGAGGGCATATATATCGAGTCGTGAAAACATCAAACCGAAGCCAAGTTCAAGTAATTTGGGGTTGCTGAAGGCTTCAGTGATTATTGTTCCGTGCCTTTATGTCGGAGGGTGTTTGTCCAAAAATCTGGCCACTTTTCTTGAAGAATGGAATATATTTGTCCCGGATGATGACGATGATGATGACTGATGTTTTTGAATTGTTAACTTCAAGGAATTATTTAAGGTAACMAATAAAGCTCAGATCATTTTAGATGAAGGGTCCAGTGGAAGGGAGGGACTGGTGGAGCTACAATAATCCTATTTTAATAGGATTTTAATTAAAATCATCATTTTCATATTAATATAATAATTCATTATATTCTCCACAGGAATCCAACACTAAGTGTTTATAATTATTGACAAGCTGGTCAAGCCAAAAAGACAATTCCATATATTTGCTCAAAAGACTGCATTAATTGAACATTGCCATGCACATTATTTTGCACAAAATCATTAGTGTGATGTTCTAAAAAGAGGCTCTATAGGGAATACAGGATAGGAAATTCCTATATTTTGATTTGTACAAAATATTTTTAAGAAATATGTATTGATAATATATCTATTTTATATATATATCGTTAGATTACATGTAATAGTTATTGATCAATTTATATTTTCCAAATTAGATATATCTTATAATTGGAAATAATTTTGCAAGTTTAGATAGTATGGCATATATAATAAATAATTATATAATTATATAATAAACAATTTTTGAAATAACATTATTAATTATAACTTGATGAATGAATATGTTTAAACTTGATGCTATTAGTTCTTGGCCAAAATGGWAAGATGCAAGTGCAAATAAAAAAGTTCTGTTTTTCACTCTTAAAATCTTATATTACTTGTGCAAACCTTTTTCAGGTTTAAAAACAGGAGAAAAGGGAGAAGGAGTGAGAAGTAACAGTTGGTTCCCAGGTGGGGGGGACTCAGGGGTAAAAGTACCGGCGGAGCTTGTGAAATCTCTTAGGGATAAAAATCTGTGATTGGGAATCTTTTAGGGTGCCAATTTGGAGTTTCTGGAAGTTTACATTTTTTGCAATCTCTTAGAGAAAGAGCGCATCGATATTGATTTTCCTCTGCATTTTGTATTTTTTCATTTAATATTTAATATTTTTATATTTTAACATTGAAACTGATTTAATTTAACAATATTTGTTGTGCAATCTCTTAGGGGTTAAAAATCAGTCAGCCACTCCCTTTTTTCAAGACTTTCGTGATTTTTTAGGTTTTTATTTTTGAAAATTTCCGACGAGTATCCCTGGTACTTTTACCCCCCGGGAGTTGAGCATTTGTGCACTCCAATCACATTTTACAGTATTAATTACATTATTCATTCTYTTATTTATTGCACAAACTAGGAAAGATTTCTTTTGGTTTTTACTTGGGGGATACCATCTCCATCGTAGGCCCASACCCCCGATATCCGATAGCAGTGCCAGGCATGCCTTTCCAAACTCAAGAGGATTGRGAAGCGCAAGTGTCCCACAAGTGGTTGGACCAATGGAATTCGACGCAGCTGTAGCGAAAATAGGGGAATTTGGTCGTTACCAAAGAATTCAGTATCTAGTGGCCAACATTTGCTCAATTCCTCTATATTTTCAGTCTTTACTTGGCGTATTCATCGCGGCGCAACCAAAATGGAAATGCGTCGGTCAAACAAACGAACCGTTATGCCTTCCAAATGGAAAGATTTGCAGCAAACCTCAATTTGTATCACAGTATTCAAGTATTGTCACCGAGTGGAACCTTGTTTGTGGTGATGCTTATAAAGCTGAGCTCGCCCAGTCGATACTAATGGCAGGTTTCTTGGTAGGTGCGTTTTCCGGTGGGTATGCTTCTGACCGATACGGAAGAAAGCGAGTCTGGCTCACGGCTCTTGTTATGAACAGTGTTTTGGGGATTTTGTGTGCTTTCTCTCCAACTTTGAACGCATTTTACGGCTTTCGTTTTCTTCAAGGTGTTTTCATTCAATCAGGAACCATGACGACTTTCGTGATCTCTACTGAAATGATAGGGCCTTCATACAGAGGTAATGGAATGCATTGCTGTAGATGGGGCTTTGGTGGGAAGCAAACTATAGTAATAAGTTGTATAGTAAGAAAATCCATTGCTATGGTGTTGTGAACATTTGCTGCCTTTTAGCTTAACCTGCTTTTATCAAATAAATTGATTTATTACATTTTTTCATCAGTCGTTGTTTTATTGCATAGGGTCTACTGGGATGTACGTTTCAATATTTGCCGCTCTATCTTACCCTGTACTGGCATTTCTCGCATCGATCTTCACGTAAGTCCAACAGTGTTGTGTTTTATCAATAATAGATTAACAATTAATTACAAAATAATAAAAACGCTGGAGTTGTTCTTTGAATTTTCTTTCATCCATTTCAACGCCATCTTGTATGTAAAATATCATTCTCGAGTGTCGAGACAAGGAAGCCATTATAGTGCAAGCTACTAAAAAAAACCTACATTAAAAAATAATACAAAATAATAATAATACAAAACCGGCATTGCGCTCATACTTCCA